AAGTAAGGAAAAAAATCTCATCTTTACAACCTAATATTAAATCATATACAATTTTAAAAGACAGATGGATCTAAGATTACCATATTTTTAAAACGTTAGGGTAATGAGATCGCTTAGTTTTTAATTTCCTCTTCACTGCAAATGTTCGTATTAAATATCTTCGGTTGCCAGAGGCATCCGATAGGGTTTCCGACATTCGATTCATTAATAATTTCCTTTACCGTTCCGTAATCGCATGTCACAGCAAAAATTAAGGTCGTTGAGGGTAAATTGATGGCAAAGGTCAAAAATACTACTCTGCAAATTTTTTACTGCTCTACTGCAATTAAAGGTCCGCGATTAGGGACGAGTCGCCCGAGCAGTAAATTATAACTAAGAAACCGAACAAGTACGAGTCTGGCTCTCGCATGACGAAAACGTTAGTTACATAATTGTATGTAGACAATTCGATTATCTCGAGAAATGACTCTCGAAAAACATTGACGTTTTTTGCTGAACAACAAAGATAACTTTGCCATTATAAAGTACTCTTTAATATTTTAACATAATAATTTTTTAAAGGGCAAAATATGAGTTTATAATCACGTAAAAGATTAGTAATGTCAACTAGTAAAATAATTTAGTTTTTTTCTCCACTTAGCTGTGAGTGTATGATGATTTTCCTTACAGAAGATGAAATAACTTTGGTATCTCTTTAATAGGTCAATGAAATATTTCTAAAGTATAATTCCCTGTCAATGGTTTCTTAAGGAGTCTTTATAACTACGCTTAACAGCAGACGTACCGTCCAATATTTGCTCCGTATAAATGTAGATCGAAAAACGTTTAAATAAGGATCACAAAATCAATTTGAGCGGGGAGATCGCTGCGTTAAAACATGTCCATTATTTAGACGGTATTGGACGCCCTTTGGAGGGAAACGGTCGAGGGCACGGGGCGAATCGTTCGGGAAAACATTGAAAGGGCTCGGTGCCGATGAGCGACTACTCGCTCAGGTAAGAAGGTAATATTTTATTTAAATTAAGCTGTTAGGGACTGCTGTTTGAATTTGTTCTTCGGTATTAAATCTTGTAGTGTAGCGTAAATCAAAGTTGGAAATCCTACATTTACTGTCTGTGCATTATTAATGCTTTCAGATTGGTACACGGTTAATTTGTCGTAAACTTTAAGGTAAGTCTTTGATTAACATTTACTGACAAGTAATTTGTAAGTTTTTATATCTGTTCTGTGAGATATTATTGACATTGCATAAATTTAAGTGTGTTTATTTGTCAAGTTGTTTTTGGGTACTGAGAAACAGGTCTCTGTCAAGATATTCTATAGAAATCGGGTTTCCCTTAAAAATCGTAAAAATAATCAAAGAAAAACTTAAATCTGTTACTAGTTTTTCAGAATTGTTCTTTATATTATATGTAAAAACTTACACATGTTGAGAGTTGCAGCGTAAATCCATAAAAATACTTTTGCGATCTAAAGCCTTGTATACACATTCTCATATGATATATCACAATATTTCCTTTTTATTATTTTATTTTTGGTGATGGGGTGGAAAATCCCATTAGATCTACGGCGCCTGGGGATATAAGAGCCAGAGCTATGTGGTGTATGAAGCTACATATTTCATTGTAATAAGACTTCATTAATATTAAGTCAAAATAAAAATACAAAGTTTTTTCTTTACAAGTTATTTGCAAGAACTTTTGAAAGATTGACAGGTCTACCGAAAATATGTTAGGTATTGATCTTTTATATTTCATTAAAAAGGCAAAGCAGTACTCGGGAAAAGTTACGCTGGCAAAGTTTTTTAATCAACGCTGATGAAAAATATACGTTACCAGAGGCGTCGGATGCCGATAGGTACCCACAAATACAATCCACATAATATTTGAAGCTTTGCTTTGTTCACGTGCTTTGATAATTCCAAAATACACTTATTATATGTATATTGATATATTTTAAAGCATCAGAGTTTTGAAGTAACGGAGTAAAATATTAATTGCTAATATTGGAGTGCATTAGTACCGATACCCGATACCCGTATATACACCCTTTCGATCACCAAAATAATTTTAAAATAAAAAAAGATTTTTCCAAATCAGGACTTGATGATGGGATTCTGGAAAAATCGAGGGAAGCCCTCAAATTTTACAGGCCTGGCTACGTGTTTTAGCTTGTTTCTCTAGCTATGTAGGTATTTGAGTTTAGTAGTCGTTATGTCATGTTGCTGATCTGACGATGGAACGGTCCTTGATGTTTAGGAATTAGAGGATAACTTGTGTTGGGTGTCAGAGATATGTGCATAAAAGAGTAATATGAGATTAAACCTCATCCTCAAAACTCTTTCATTTGTTAACCGATTATGAAAATTCTTTTTTATTTAGAAGGGTTTTTCCCTTTAATACCATTCAAATGTGAAGAAAAAATATCACTCCTAGTATTGGCAAATATCCAATCCAATAATCAATCCAATCGAGTAATGAATTTAAAACTAAAATAACAAATGTTTTGTGTCCATCAACCTTAACCCCAAACAAATGTAAATAAGATATAAAATAGATTTAGAGTAGTATTAATTCAAATAGTTTATTATTATTAAGTATACTTTTCTTTTGTTTTTTTTTTCTTGTTTCATTGTTATTAGGTTACTACTACTTACTACTAGGTTTACTACAAATCAGCGATTGCAGAACATGCACTCGATGCAGGCATCAACCACTGGATTGAATTTCACCGCACGCAAGTCCTCTCCACCGAACGTCACTTTTACTCAAGAGTTGTACGTGAAGCGATTGAGATTAAAAAGCATAAAACTTTCAATCGGGAAGATGGTTTTAAATTATCTACAGCGTGGAATCCAGTGTTAAAAAACATACCACCTCGCTTTTCTGCGCAATCGGTTAAACACCAGAATAGGGACTCATCGTTTTGCTTACAGAATAGGGACACTGTTAGTGTGGTATGTGACGGTACATGGCGACACAAAAATATCGAAAATGTGCGGGTAGATGAAGAGCCTTCTACTTCACGGATTCGACGACGGAGGGCGTGCGCCGATGAGCCAGTCAGCCTGTGACCACGGCCGGTGCAACCTGGTCGAAACGTCAGGCAAACCAGAGGTATGTAATACCCTAAATAAGAGATCGCGTTAATTCCCGTTAAATAATATTAATTATCATGGAACGCGAAAGTTTAAAAGTTAGTATAGGTTACTACTTTTTACACTACTACATTACAGTAAATGCTATGTACACCGTTATTGTCACATATATCAGGAATAATTCCACATATTGTCAAAACTAGTTATAAGTATAATATGTATGATGTGGTAGTACTTATTAATAAATAAATAAATATATTTAATATAATCTAACGTACTATAGTTTAGTACTATACATTAAGGTACTGTACGGTATTGCTTGAAATATCGTACTTATCTACTCATAACAAACATATCTTACACTAAAAATGGTAAAATAAACCCTTTTAAAAAAAAGTTGAACCGACTTCAAACAATACTGACAAAGAGCACTAAAAAATAAAAAATAAAATTACAAATCCAAGTAAAAAAGTATAATAGGTACCGTCAATATAAGAGATAACATAAAAAAAATCAATAGTCCCTTCTAGTCTGTTTGAAGTCGTTGCCAAGCCAAATAAGTGCTTGATGAGCTCAGTAGAATGCAGCGAGGCAGCTGCAACTTCATCAACAGTCTTCATACTGCGCAAAACATGATGAACGAGCTAAAGTGGGTTACGCACATCTCCAATGATATATTCTAGTTTTTTTACTTACCAGTAGATTTGTAATTATTTTTAATTTTTAGTGCTCTTTGTCTGTATTGCTTGAAGTCGGCTCAACTTTCCTTTTAAAAGGAATTTTAGTGTAAGTATTAAACTTACAATAACAATACTAAATTCGTTGTAATTAGATTTTGATTTCATAGCTGTTACATAAATTATGTGATTAACAACTGAATTAAGCAAATAAATTAACTAATTATCATTGTTTTGTTCATGCTTCAATTCTTTATTTTTAACGGCGTCGCCGCCGCGCGTCGGTTTATATGACATGCTCTATTTCAGTAGTTGCACCGATATATATTTATTCACAAAAAATGTATCTTTGTTCCTACTCTAGCATCCATATTATAAATTCTGCCTAACTTGGATCTTGGATCTAAAAGTACATTTTATCGATAATAGAACATCGTCAGATGAACCATTTATAAGGTTGCTTTGATCATATTTTATCGCACGATCTCCTACACAATATAAATACGGAAGAAAAACTTAACAAACACAATCTACGATACAGGGAACTAAACTTAAGATATTTCTTTAATACTTTGAGATTACATCCCTGAAGGGGTAAGAAGAGACTTATTAAACTACCAAACTTTGCCAACTATAATTTAGTCCAACTCACGTGGCGGGGGCCAAGCCTATTGCCTTCAATCGGGCCTGTAAATTATATACCAAGCTCACATTTAATCCACATAAATATGATACGAACAATTTGACGTGCTTCAAAAGCTAGTAATGGTATATTTATAATAGAACAATAACGTTAGCCTATAAACATTTAAGTGTATGAAAATTATTGTAAAATATCTCAGTAAAATAAATAAATAAAGATGAGAAAATCGTTTTATTAAAAAATGATTTTAAGCAGCTTATTTTGTAGGATATTAGGATTCTCGTAGACTAGAGTTCTAATAGAAGAAGGAATTCTAAAAGTGAGACACGAGAAGTAATTGTTTTTAAATTTGGAATTAAAGCGCACTTAAAAGAATATCAGCTGTGTGTAGAATTAAATGTACCTACTTTTAAGAAAAAATAATCACCCTTTTTAACAGAATTGTACATCTTATATTATTGTGTTATTTAACCAGCAAAAGACTTTAATGAAATTTACCTACATTTATCAAAATAATAATTCAAAACGGATAGCAAAATGTCCTCAATTGCACTGTTAAAACCTTTTTCTTTTTGTTTCGCAGGCGGGCGATTCTCTCCAACCCGGATGTCATCGGGCACACACCTATAAAGGCATTATTCGAAAACGATTTCTGGGGGACGCCACTCACAGATCCCGGTTCGCACGGCTCATATAGACCACTGTGCGTCGCTACATATCGATTCAACTACGCCTTTAGTGGATTTAAACCGTGGAGCTACCATCTTCTCAATGTTATTTTACATTGTACGGCAACTGCTTTAGTGGTGACTACTGCCCGCCGTCTGTTACCACCATATTGTTTAAGAGTGGGTACTGTTGTTACTGGTTTAGCATTCGCATCACACCCGATACATACGGAAGCCGTGGCAGGAGTCGTCGGGCGTGCTGACTTAGCAGCTTGTAACTTATTTCTATTGAGTTTCCTTTTCTATAGTGAACACATTCGATTGCGGGAAGAACGACACAAGAAACAATGTCGACACGTACACAAAGACAATATAATTCAAAGGCAAGTGACGAGTAGTGAACAGCCGTTCAGACTCAGCTGCCATAGTTTAGTACAGCACATCATGATGAACTTTCGAAAGCTGATGAAAGCAAGTAGAGCGGGACCAATGAAAATGTTGGATGCGTGTGAGGTTAAACCGGGAACAGTGCGATCAAAGTGTCAGTTTAGTGGTGGTGTGAGTGAAGATACAGGTGAACTGTTGCAGTGGCTGACGTTAGCGGGAACACTTGCTTTCGCTGCAGCCGCAACTTTGTGTAAAGAGCCAGCCATAATGGTTCTGCCTCTTTGCATATTCTATGACCTTCTAAAGGGTACTCGATACGAGGAATCATACTATAAGGTAAGAAGTGTAGTGTTTATACATTTTTGTTAACTTCCAATAATAATATACTAAGCACTGTCCAGTTAACTAGAAAGTTTTCCAGTTTAGTAGATGTTTTTCAGAAACATCACGATATTTGTATGAAAACAAAACTACGAAATAAAAATAAATATCTTTCGTAAATCGAACAGTTGAACGATGTGTATTTCGAACTAAAGTCACTACTAATCCAATCTGTATCCTGTGAACGTCTTGATTGCTTTCAAGCCGTGATCCGAATGTTTGATGGGATGATGAGTGGAGAAAGTTTTAGAGGCCACACTACTGTAATTAGTAATAAAAAAGTTCCACACGACCGAGAGTTTTGCCTCTATATATATACAATTTATTAGCTTTTTAATTTCTTTGACGTCAACTTCTTCTCCTTTGTACATTTTCTATTTAGAGTGACTGCATGCGTTTTATTACGTTTATTACTTCTATAAATTATTTGGTTTTTAATCATAGAAGCTTGGTATCTTAATGGTTGTATAATTTCTAATATATGACTGAATTTTAAAATCTTTTTATCACTAACTATATTTAGATAATTGCCTTCCATCTGATAGTACTCATACTGAAAACATTCGAGTCATTAGTAAAAATATTGAAAATGCAAAAACCACTGTCACGGGTGGACTTGTGATATACAGATTACATATACAATTGTATAGCTAGTCTTCATTGTATAGTATAGAAAGAAAGATCTATCTAATAGACGATTTTGCCACTATTTGCCATTCCTTCCAGACAACCGTTAGTTGAAAAGATGGAATAATTAGGGTGATTCGTTTCTCAGTAGTTTATTGTACCATTCGCTCACATAACTATTTCTAATTTGAAATTCCAAAAAAAAATTCCTTTTTTAGTGGCTGCTTACAAAATAAAAAACATTAGCTCCCAAAATTTCAAATTTATATCCCCAGCGGTTTAAGGCTTTGCGTTGATGAATAAGTCAGTCAGTTGGTACAAGTAATTTTATGTTATTGATTTCATAATTATATATCTATTTAAGTTTTGTTATACTTTATAGTTTTGTTTTCGTGTGACAACTACCACGGGTTTATCTAATACCAAACTAGACAGAACCTGTACTATAGTAACCAAACTACTGCTAAACATACATATATATTTCTAAATACATACATTTTATAGGTAAGTTCTGCTGTAATATTATCAAATCTCAAGAGAATCGTATGTGTTTCAGTTTCACTCGTTACTAAACGCTCGAAACGTTCTCTGAGGAAGAAGGATTAAATAAAATATCGTTAAGTAGGCAGAGAAAATGAGTATTTCGGCAAACCTGTATGGGGAGCCACTTGAGCTTTGTATAAATTATAAACTTCATGCAAACTACACAGACGGCTCAATCATCTATTAGTAAGAGGAGAGATGCAGTCAGTGTACTTTTAAAGTCAATGACTATAAAATACGCAACATTCTAAAGAATGTTGCGTATTTATTAAGCCAAGACTATATGACTGAAATCTTTCACCCTACCCTTATTATTACCATTAAAAGAAATCTTTTGGGTCCATGTTCTGAACTTCAATTAGCTATGTTTGCTATTTCTTAGCGTAGTCTATATATGGCTCCAGATACCTAGTTGTTAGTGTGATGTGAAGTGTGAGTAAATATGCAAGTCATAAGTGTACGGATAGTATGAAAAAATAAGATTGTTTCGGATAGCGATAATTTATGTTGTGGACTAGTAAAACGAAAATTTCATTGAATTAATAAATCAATGAAATTATTTGTTTCGTAATAATTTGATAATCGTAATTGACTGTATATATGTCAAGTATTCTAATTCGAGACGGTAAAGTGTACATTTTCGTCAATAGTATGATAATTATCTTCTCATTATATATACATACCAAACAGATAGTACGTGAAACGTTAATTTGTCATAATAAAATATTTATACAGTCATCTCCTTCGACGCCATGTTTGTTTAAGGTATATGCAAATACGATTAGAAATTAATTAATTAGACTATCTACACGCACAATAAGTATACCGATTCACGTTCTAAATGTGCCTGTAATTTTACATCATTGGAGCTCTAATCAATTAAAGCTAAATAATTTTTCAGGTCAACATCTTATATTCTTTGTATACTTGCATTTAATTGTCACAGTTTAACGGTTTTTTAAGCTAGGTACCCGGACAGACTTCTGATTCTAGCAAAAGATATTGGCCTGTCCAATTGAAAAGATAATAAACTAAACGTATTTCAAAGTGGTCACTTTTTTCGTACTTTAATTTGGGCAGGCATAGATTAATATAAATACAGCCTGAGCAACTTGCGGCATACTAAAAATAATCCTAACGCTCCTTTGTTTTGCTTTGATTAAAATCAAATGTTTGATAGCCAGGGACAGGTGTTTAACAAAATATAAAGAATAAATAAATAATGGATTGGTTGAGCTGTTCTGGACTTTTGTGATTAGCAAACACATTTTTATTTATATAGACTAGATGTTAATGGTGTACCTTCAAAGTAAGTACAGAAAGCTTTCTAATATTATTTGTACTAAGCATTTAGCAAAGAAAATAAAATACATAAATGTTTTTAATACGAACAAAAAAGCTTTTCTCTCTTTTTACAGTTTTTTCTCTACAATATTTAATTGTAGAGAATAAACTGTAATCTGCGCGCTCTGTAAAAAATACTGTTCTGTCTGTAAGATATACAAGACAACACAAACATTGTGAAAATTTCGGTAATGCTGGCTTCCTATGTAGCTTGCTTTTTAATTTTCCACCGGCTGCATTCACACACCTAGGAAATATAGCTTACAAAAGAGGTAATCGTATCTCGTGAACGATGTACGAACTAACGTGCCTTTTACAAAGACTTGGAGTAATATTCTTAAAGCAGATTTAGATAGCGTTGAAGCCACGTGTTGATGTTTACAACACAGTTGTATACTAAAAAGATAATGAAAAAGCTTAGTTGAGCTCGTGTAAGTATTTTTTTTTTTCAAATTTCAAAAATAATGCTTTAATCAGTTCTGCTTGAGACTACATTTATTACTCTTATAAAAGATATACCCTTTGAAAGACACTAGTATAGTGGTATAGAATAGAAAAACTACTGTACCGTATGGTATAGTACTTTTATATTAAAATAATGTGTAACTGATATTAAAAGAAGGAGATGTCCTAAAGTTATAAGTAGTTTCCTACCATATTATTGGTGTTACCATATTATAAAATCTCTTAAAAAGTTAAATTTAAATATTCAAATTTATCTTAGAGACCAGAATATTTGGTTTTAAATTATTGCGTTAATAGGTTGACATTGTATTTTTTTAAAGAGGACCTACTCGTACCTAGTAGAAGAAAATATTTGACATGCTTCATCCATCGGTATAGCTCTGAATCAAAATCTATCAATATAGTTTACCAATATTTTCAATCCCTGACGGTAAATGTGGGTTATAAGTTTAATCTGCGTATCTGTATATCTGTCTGTCTGTGGCATCAAAGCTCCAGAATGGATGGACCAATTTCGATGCCGATTTTTTTTTTGAGCCGATGTGATTGAAATGGTTCATAGCTATAAATTTTGAAGATCGTCAGCTCACTTCATAGGTATATATCATGGGGATATAATATAAAGGGATCAAACTAAAATCCACAGGTCAAATTGATCTGAAATTTGGTATACTGTTACTTTGATTATATTTCCACGACATGGTAACGTGGAACTTGCTGCCGCATCAAGTGGTCTGCGGGATAGCTAACTTCCCTGGAAATTACACGTATATATAACATGTTTGGGCTTATTAGAAAAGCCTCAGTGTCAGGGGTTTTAATTTTTTAAAATTAATTATTCGTTTTAACGACAATACATTAAAAGATTGATGACAAATCAGGACAAAAAAATGAAAATATATAATTTTTTTAATTAAAAAAAAATGAGAAAAGTTAAAACAAACACTTTTATACCAAATCAAACTAAAAAGTAATAGTATACAAAATTTGAGTTGGAATAAAGTGTTGCGTACAGTTCCTTGGTAGATGGATATAAAAATAGAAGAGGTATATATTATAGCGTAGAGGAAGTCTAGTGACGTTGTATAGCACTGTGTTGACGTAATAGTCAATCGAAAAAAGCTAATCGTATCTCGGGTTTGTTTTTTGTCGTTTCTTGTATTGCCTTGTTTTCGTGTTCCTGTTACTGTTTTGATATATCTACACTATCAACATTTTAAAAAGATAACGTACACTTTTTGCCATGTCAGTAAACAAAATCCTAACATTAAATTGACGAATACATGATCATATCATATGTCATATGTCGATATGTCGAATAGTTGCAAAACTACATTCGAAATTTTCTCAACAGACCCCATGTAAAGGCATTATTTTTGCATTCAAATATTCTTTATATAAAAGATTCGATATATTGTATATACCTATCTGGTATATACAATCTATCGACTTTGTTTGGTTAACCTAACAAAAATAATAACAATAATTCTATTTATAAATAGAAAGAAAAAACTGAGAAAAGCGCATTTCAACAAAGAAACGCTTTTCGGCATAATAATAGTAGTGACTTACTTTTTCATATGACCTGTGTTTAAATCTGTTTTGTACACTGTTGAATGAGTATAGCTTTCCACTATTTTTTTTCTCCTGTCGGATCACACTTTGTTTATAGGTAAGTTAAATAGCCATCTAAACACTACAATTTAATGCTACAGCTACATATTATCGTATACTTTCCAGAGTCGTGCAGAAGCAACGGATGTCGTTAGTGCAAGTCTTTAAAAATATATACTACAATTTTCTCTAAATAAGTAAATTCGCTGTGAATTTCGTTTTAATACTATACTAACGAGATGCTTTGCCTCTATCATCCTAATGCCTGCATTTGTGTCACATCGCAGCTCTGGCGTGTATCCTCACTAATGTTATTATAAATGCGAAATGGAGTTTGTTAAAACTCATTCAATCATCATAAAATATTAAATGCATGGTTACTGGTATAAAAAAGACGTAACGACTTTTTTATTACAATAATATCTTGTTTCCAAGGAATAGTGTGTTAATCGACAAAATCGATAGTAAATCGAGCGAAGCTGCAAGCGACAGCTTGTAGTAAAAAGTGCTTAAACGTATTTATTACTTACCAGTTTTTACAACCTGCAAATTACGGAATGATTTTCATTATTTTGAAGGTAAGATCTTACAAAAACAGATTAAACCAAAACATACAAATATTTAATTTCAAAAGATCGGAAGAAAACGCCTTCAATTGTCTTTGCGAACAGAAGATGCGATTTCGTAAAGGTGTCTACGTAAAGTTAGTTCCAAATCAAAAGTCTAAGTACTCATATTCTAAAACATGACTGACGTAACTTACCATACGTTTGGACTCGTGCCATCGTCGTACCTGAGCCTATAATGTATGGCTGAGCCTATAATGTATGGCTGTTACGCCCTCGGTGACAAGATCCAGAAGAATAACGTAATTAAGGTTGGCGTCTCGTGACATACGGCTTTCGTTTCTACTACCCACTCAAAAATAACATTTGTAAATTTGTATAAAATATTTGCATAATAAATAGATAATCGATATGTATAATATCGATGAAAAAAATATAAATATAGTCACAAGAACTTTAACCTTTTACCTATAGATAACAATCGCACATCACATAACATCTTTTGAAAATCGATAGCCGATTCGATCTAGGCACGTAACGATGTGTCCCAGCCGTACATCATATGACGGACAATTAATGACTTCGGAGTGATTGTAGATAAACGATGGTCGTCGAAACGTCCGATGAATTTGGTAGTAGATATAATACCCCGATATTAAATAAGTTATGTACCTGTCTTTAAATAGGAAGGAGTTGATAAGTTTTTTTGTTTTTCGTGAGGCAAACAGCAAGAGGTGAGGTCTCGAAAACTCAGTGGATGAAAAATTCAGTTGGCTGAGTATCACGGTTATTATCCGGTTATTGGTTAGATTCAAGCACTACAGTTGACCTTTAAATATTAGGTTAGTTATTATTAGATGATACGGTCACCATAAATAAATTGGCTACTTAAAAATTCATAATAACTGGAAATTATATTAATATTGAAATATCTATACCTATGAACACTACAACGGTTGAAGCCGGTACCATTCCATCATTCGGAATCTCTTAGAGTTATTTATTGCTGGTTCTGAGCGTGTTCGTAATGATTAATTTCAAAATATTTTTAAATAGCGGTGTCTAGCGTAATTAATAAAACCCAGATATGCAGCACAAGGCACATTATTTTGTATTCTTGTTAAACTCCTGCACCTAAGCAAGAAGCTCTTGTCTAAGGAAATATACTTTATAAATTATGGTAAACGGAAATATGACTCAAATTGATTGCCCTCTGTTAATGCAGCTGCGGATGTGCCATAATGCCTAAGTAACTTATGAACTTACTAGTATGAAGACATTTCTAAAGCATCACACATACAGACCACGCATTTGTTCTTTATAAATATTTTAGAAAGTTTGCTGTTATTATCAGATATTATGTTGTTACCACAAAAGTTTGAAAAATTATCTATACTATATTATAGAAAAATGATATTGTCTAAAACTGATCTGATATATTTATATTTCACTGATCTGATACATTGTATGCATGAGTGTGAGTGTTTAATTTTGGGGAATTTAATATCCGAAAAAATAAACAGGGATATCACTATAAATTACTCATGCTTATTGTGTAAATCGCAATGTTGGCAATAACCGCAAAAGAACTACCTCTATCCTGGGCTGCCGTGCCCGACAGGGTCCATAATGAATTGAAGTACCTTATACCTAACAACTTATAACATTATGGTTTGCAATAAACGTATGAGTTTTAAATGACCGTAAAGAAATCATTATGTTATAAAATCGAAAGCAATTTTACTAAAACGGGATTTTATTTGCTGTTTGGTTTTTCAGCGTACCTACTGTTTTTAACAGATCACGCGTGATTGTGTAAAAATTGTGTGTTTAGTTTTCATTGCCATTTCATTATAGAAAGACTTACAAATGAACAACGTTTACAAATTACTAAATTTTGTTATCAAAATCAGTGCTATGTTAAAAATGTGTTTTGTGCACCTGGCGATCTGCCTCATTGTCGTGTTTTCGTTGAATGGGCGTTGGAAAAGCTGGAACAAGATTCGCTTTTTTTTTGAAAAATTTTCGTTAGCGATGAAGCACATTTTTGATTGAACGGATACGTTAATTAGCAAAAATGCTGTATTTGGTCCGATTAACAGCCACAAAAAATATAAAAGCTGCCAATGCATCCCGAAAAATGTACTGTTAGGCGGTTTATTTTCCGGAGGCTTCATTGGCCCGTACTTCTTTAAAGATAAAGATGAGAACAACGTTACTGTCAACTGCACTAATGGCGTAGTGGTTTCAGCGGTCGGCACGCCGCTTACTACCACGCTAAGTGCTGTGGGTCCGATCCCCACATGGGACTACACTTTGTATGATCCACAAATTGTTGTTCTGAGTCTGGGTGTTCTTTGTGTCTGATTCATGTATGTTTGTGAAGTCCCCTGAGACACAGGATGTACTTATTTCTAATGCGGGAGTTGTATAGTGCGGGAGAAAAATAAATAAGACAATGGTGATCGCTATCGTGTAACAATTTCCGACTTTTTACTGTCTTTTTATTGCCAAAAATACACGAGCCGATTGGTTGATATGTGGTTTTAACAAGACGATGCCACATGCCACACAGTACACGAAACAATAGCACAATGGAATTTGCTAAGCATTACATCAGTGAAATGGCCACCTATATCGAGCGATTTCAAGCAGTTTGACCATTGTTGTGGAGGTACGACAAATCTCTTGTTTATGTCGATAAACCAGCATCGATTCAAGTACTAGAAGACAATATCACACGTGTAATCAGTCAGATACCAGCCGATATGCTCAAAAAAGTAACTCAAAATTGGACTTCACGTATGAGTCATCTAAAACGTAGTCGTGACCAACATTTACATGAAATAATCTTTAAAAAATAAATATTATTTTTTTGTAAATTAAAAACCAAAGGCTTAAAAAATCACACTTTATTATTATATTAAAAAAATATTAGTTATACTCTGCAGTTTTAGTCGCGTTAAATTTGTGTAACATAGTTATTTTAAACAGAACTCGAATCGGATTAGATTAGCACCGTTATAAAAATAGTTATATAGTGTTGTTGCCTTTATGACCAACAAAATATAATTTAGTACTAAAACATCTATTCTGTACTCATACAATCAATCAAAAACGCTATTTATCAATCTCCCCTGCATATATAGTACATAGTAAATTTGTTTTGTTTTCTTGAACCGTGAGAAGGTTCTGTCGGTTTGTAAATTAAAAATATTAATTACTTTATGTCTTTTCTCAGTCAATATCGCTACTCAATATACTCGTACGTATAGAATATCTTATTTCTACCTGTTTGTGACTATGTTTATATCGAATAAATAAAATAAAATTATTATTACTAAGGAATCATATTGGTTCTTTAATAAGTAAGTTTTGGTCAAGTCAAACTTTCACAAGGACAGAAGAGTTACAAATTGTTATAATTTTAAGACATGATGACCAGTGTTTCTTTTTTATATTGATCGTTATTAGTTTGAGCTTTGCGATTCTCGAAGAACTAGAAATAATACGGATCACCAAGAGCTTCAGTTAGCTCTTTTCTTCAACAATTATCTAAAGCGTAGCATAAAAATTGGATTAGGTAGAGGAGGTAACATAGCATACAGTGGACGTGAGTGCTGACGCGTCGCAAGTAATGCTCCCTTAATCTACTCCTGGGTCGCAATTCCCAGACGCTGTAGAAGTCGCATGTGTTGCCCCCATCTATCACGCGATGGACACCCGCACGGTGCAACCATAGAACCGGTAATACCCAGACCAAATGACTTCAGGTGCTCCTCGGATCGACACCACACCTAACTAGGCCGTCTCCTGGGGAAGCTGCAAATTTCCCCCCTCAATCGCGTCCCGATTGCATCTTAATGCCACCAGATGTACCCACTCTCTACATCCCGCCCCGTCGACGACTGGTATTGCCGCCGACGTCCTCTACGCTCGGCATCTACCCTCTCACGATTTCTTTCTGGAGTATCACAGCTTCACATAAAGAGACCACATCGCCCGCCAAGCCCTCCTCACCCGCCATCATGGCGCAGCATGGAACTTTTATGTTACCTACATGTCTTTAGTGTGCCATAGTGATTCCTATACTAAGAAACCTATTCCGACCGAGGCCGACCTGTTGATCCATCTAACCAACTTGCTTTTTTTTTCAAATTACCAAATTTTCACTCTTTTATAATTCATCATCATCATCAACAGCCTTAAATAGTTTACCGCTGAACAAAGGCCTCTCCTTAGAAAGAAGGTTTTGGCCTACTATGCCATGCTGGCCATACGGGTTGGTGGTTTGTTTCAAGTTTTCCTTCTTTTTGCATTACTGTTGTCCTGCGTAGTTTGCTTTCTTAGTTGGCTCTTCAGATACCCACAGAGTGAACAGGAGTGGTGATAATTTATATTCTTAATCTGTTATCACATGGATTATGTCGGACTTTCTTATCTTATTTCTATAGTTAACTGGAACAAATTTTAAATCAAATTCAATTCATAATAATGTTCACGTTTATTTGTATAATTGTATGATGAGCACGGTCTTTAATTTGTTTTGTGTCTGGGTGTACTGTATCTATAATATGCATGTATTTAGAAATATATAAGTAT